GCCAAAATGTGACTTGGGTTGTTTATGAAATAAGCGATTCAACCGTATTTATTAACAACCTTAAAAACTTTAGACTTACCATTATATATACATTTTAACACAATTAAAAGGGTGATAATGGTGAATTTATTGATACACCATATGGTGGTAGTTCAAATATCAAACATTCAGACCATTTAACTTAACGTATATCTAATGACCCACACGTTTGTTACATATTGTTATCACAAATGCTTTTTATTTGTCAATTTCTCTGGTCTAATAGTTCATGTTTAACAAATCCTGTTTTATTTTGATTTTTGACATTTTAATTGCTCCAAATCTTATCCAAAGATATTTAGATAATTTTATTTTGAAATATTTAATTTCCATACAATTTTCTCTTTTGTTCTTTCTTGTTTTGAAAAGTGCATCTGTATGTTCCTAAATAAACTATCGAAAAATTGATAAACACTTTACCTCTAATTACAGTGCTTGCCTTAGATTTTATTGTATTTATTATGCTATTATATAATATACTTCGACATAGGGTATGGACCCTTAAGAATTTTCAGCAGATATATCTGTGTAATAAATTACATATTCGACTTGTACGAATGTGTTCATGAGAGATTTAATAGCTCCATAGAAAAGTTAAATACCGTCTTCTTTTAATCAAATGGTGCATTAAGGTTTTACCGCGCACTTAATGAATAATTATTAATAAATAATAAGGCATAGTTTAGCCGGAGTTAATGATAATGACCTTTGGAGGCATTGCCACTGACACAGGAAGGATAAATCGTTAAGAAATGCATGGATGCTTGCGATGGTTAATATATGAAATAAGTGATTAGAAGAAATAAAGTTTATTCAACAAATATTTTAATACTCGACAAATAATCTAGACAGTAATAAATTTTTATACCAATCACAGTAAATTTCAAAAAAAGGAAATTTTGCTATCACCGGACACTTGGCAGATGTGAAACATCGAAATTCATTATTTACAAATTGACAGCAATTTAAAGGTACTTATCTACGAGAACTGGTCCCTTTGCACCCTCTGACCGAGTTACAATACAAAATTGGTAAATATCTCACTTCTATTTTTCGTCATAGTCTTAATTAACTTTCTATAGGTAACAGCCGGTCTGTGAGGCCATCGATAATAATTTTCGGAACTCTGATCGATTCTGGTACTTCAAGGTTAAAACGTAAACTAAACGCATTGTGAGTTATGAGTGCTTCTGGTCTGGGAGACAGGTATTAGCTTTTGTGTTACTTGAGCAATATTGTGCATTAACTTGAGCAAAACTATATTTGAGCAAAAAAGAGGTAAGTTTGTAAAAATGCAATAGACTGCTAACGAAGTTGTGTTGGACTTTTTATTATTGTATTAACACTGGTGGCATACTACAGACAAAACTAAACTAAACCCTCGATCTCGCGGAATGACGCTCAATTGGAGTAGTTATCAAAAAGTAAATATTTATTAATTTCACAGTAACGCGTGTTTCTTTTCTTTTCTTTTCACTTTTATCTATTTTCTTCTGCTATTCGCCGATGTGAACGGGCGAAGATCGCCTCTTCGCGTTCCATGATATCCCGGTTTTAAACATAGGGGAACAATGTTTAAAACAGTAAAGCAAAACCTACATTTTTTTACTCTTTGCGATTTTTGGTGTCACTAATAAATTTTTAGTTATTTTGAAAAAAAAAAAGCATTTTTTTCAAAATTAAAAGAAAATTGTTAAAAAATAAGTCTTTTAAACAAATGAAACTTTCAGATCATTATAATAATAAAATAAAAAATGGTTTTATTAACGTTTCGACGCCCAAATCGGGTGTCGTTGTTAAAATACAAAAATTATTAACGAATTAAACAAAACTGTTGTTGCTTAGTAAAAAAATCTTCTAATAACACATTTATATTGGCAATTCAGACATATATTATACATTTTAAAGTAGAAGACTTTAAAATGATATTGCCAATATTTATGAGTTGCGTTCCTGGGGCTATATTTATATTCTTGCGCGAGAATTTTACTTTCACCATTACATGTGGTTGTCTATTTAAAGACATATTACATGTTATGATTTTTTTGTGACGGATATTCTTGAGTTGGGGTAGATTTCATGTAATCGAATTAACTATCTTTCAACAAAGTCGTCCCATGAACGCAACTTGTAAATATTGGCAATGTCATTGCCAATATTTCATTATCTACTTTAAAATGTATAATATATGTCTGAATTGCCGATATAAATGAGTCAGATTAACTAATTTATTATAAGAATTTTTTTACTAAGCAGCATCATTTTTGTTTAATTCATTAATAATTTTTGTATTTTGACAACGACACCCGATTTGGGCGTCGAAACATTAATAAAATCATTTTTTAGTAAAATTGTAGCTTAGTTCCCATCAAAACTAGTTAATTGCAATAATGCCACAAGAAAATAGCTTTAGAACAAAATCGAGATCTTCCTCTGGAGCTGAGGATAAGCGCATTAAGATGCTACGTGTTCTCGACTTTGATACATGGAATGGAAAGATATACGCTAAAAGTAGACAATATACAGAAGTTGGAAGCATTTGAGATGTGGTGCTATAGAGGAATTTTGAAAATACCTGGAACTAACGAGTTACAAATGCAACAGTGTTAAGGTTACAATGTTACAAAAGGATTGCAAGGTGATAAAGAACATCAATACAAGAAAGCTGGAATATTTAGGTCACATTACCAAAGGTGCGAAAAGTTTAAAATGCAATGTAAAATTAAAGGTAAAAGATCCATAGGTAGAAAAAGAATTTCATGGCTGAGAAACTTAAGAGAGTGGTATAGTTGCAGCTCAATAGATCTTTTCAGAGCAGCCGCCAATAAAGTACGGATAGCTGTGGTGATGGCCAACCTTCGATAGAAGGAACTTCGACAAGAATAGGATATAAATTTTGTTCTAATAGTAACATTGTACTACAAAAAATTGACAATTTATCTAGAAATGGCAATATAGAAGTCAATTATATTCTGTGCAAAATAAGAAATTGTATAGAGGTGAACTAAAATCACTATGATCTACTGTTCGATCGCATACTTTTTACATTTAAAAATTTTCTGAGGACTTCTGGAATTAAGTCATCGATGTTTTAAAAGCAAGTAGTGGTGAGTACCAAATGCAATCGATTTTGATTTTGACTTTGACAAAATACCACAAATTACTAACGTTAAAAATGAATAAAGTAAGTACATATCTTGATAAAATGACAGGGAATTTCCAATACATAAATAGAGGAGGGCCATCTGCCTAGGAACAATAGGTAAAAGCTGATAAACGGACAGGATTAGAAAGTTTAAAACATCACTAATTAGATCATATTAGAAAACAAAGTAAATAAGTATATTTGAATGTTAATTCTTTTCAAACTAAGATTGTAAAATTAAAATTTTAGGAAAAAAAAAATTTTTATTTCTTGTTCTCAAGAAGTACTTTCATTATTGACAATATCGAAACATTTTATTATTAAAAGTCGAGAAGAATTTTCTGAGGAAACGTACATATTTATATAAAAGTGCTATAAAAATGTTTCACTGCAAAATGATGCTAGCAAATTACCCTCTGTTTTAGGTCACTGATATCCATCAATATAATATCAATATTCCCGCAGTTCTTTTGCCAAATTTTTGTGTATCTTCACACAGATAATACACTTATAGGGTAAGTTCGGCCCTGACACCACTCTTATCTCCTCACAAGTCAGAGAGAGAATGATAATCTCGATACGGTTTTCGAGTAACGCCATCTAGTTTTTGATACGTCTTTCGGTTACCACGAGGTGAGCTATCTAGGTAGTGGTTTATAATCAATGACCTAATATACTTGCTAATGATTTTTTAATTTTCCTTTTTTTTTAAGATAGAAAGCTTTATTATCGAAAATCCATTTTATTTAAAGTGAAAATGACATAAAACAGGTAATATTCTAACTCCATAAAATTCAAGTAATGAGCCCGTTGAACATGAAAATTATTTGTGATCGTTAATAATAATTGATTCCTAGCAATTTAATTTCAGATGAGTAAGCAAAGATGACTAATTCGTGTATAACAATTTTTTTTAATACGAAGCATTGTGTAGAAATTTTAATTTTAACAATTTATTTGCACTGATAAGTAACGAGTCAGTTCTGTAAATAAAATAAAGTCCGGTCCTAGTAAGCTGTTCCAAAACTATTGCTACCCGTCGCAAAGACAATTGAGGTATTAGTAACATCAATAGGTGTTGTTCATTATTATAATACTGCAGTCGACTGGGTCATCCCACCAGCCTCAGGCCAAATTTCTTATATCTTGAACCAAACTATACCATGGCTTCTATAGAACTCTACATTCTGATACATAATAAAAATATGAAATCACTGCAGGCAGTGACGACGAAGAACTGCAATAATGTTTGGTTATAATATTTTGTAATTTAACTTCTATGTGCACTTTAATCATAAATACAGTTTCACGGAACGATGGTATGTATTATTTATATTCCCGATTTTTTTCCCAACTAATACTGTACTAACTCATTCAAAAACCAGATAAAGAAACAAAATTGACATATTTAAAAGCACAAATGGAACAATACGTTAAACACAACGAATAAATATAAAAACAATTTAGTAAATAAGAACCCCCGATTTTTTGCATTAATCAAAACTTTATCTTACTTTATACGAAATCTTGAAAAAATAAGTTATAATAGTACAGTCTTCGCTGGATGAGTCAAACTGCTGTTTGCAGATTAGTGAATATTTGTAATGAGCTGCCAGTTGCAAACAGACAGACTTTAGTTACTTCGTTAAGCTTGCCATATCTTTCTCATAACTTAGACCCTAAACGTTATTTACCTATAAAATGTCCAATTAAAATAATTAACTAACGATATGTCTAAGATTCAAAATAGATCCAATATCTACCTACAAACAATAAAAGTTAAGCGAGCAAAACATACTTTTATCGTGATACGAACCTTTGTATTTTTTGTATGGAGGGCCAAACAAAAGCTCGACCTCCGGGCACTAAGAGTGGCTTGCCGTAACAACATCCTGCAACAAACAAAAACAAATTAACTTCTAAATACCAAGCAACAAGCTCTAAGCGCATTTCAATTAATCCCACACAATGAGCGTCTTTATTTGAGCTTGCAGGGGTGGCGGCCAGCAAGTGGAGATGGCGCAATGTTCATCGATGTATCAGTTATAATATGTATGAATTTGTGGGTATTGTACACTCTTTAATGCTTTTATTAAGGACGATAGATTATAGTATTTAACAAAAGTATAAAATAATGCGGGGAAGTGATATACGAGGGTGGATTGATATAAAACTAGCCTTTGGAAGAAAAAACAAGTTTTTTGGAATTAAATCGATTTATTTCTCAACACAGTCCCCGTTTAGGTCGATACACTTAGTAAGACGATGTTCCAATTTTTTTATCCCATCCGAATAGTACTTTTGCTCGAGCTCTTCAAAATAGGCCGAAGTTTCAGCGACGCTTCATCATTTGTTGCGAAACGGCGTTCTCCGAGTCATTTTTTTAGGTTTGGAAACAGGAAAAAATCGCTGGCGGCAAGATCTGGGGAATACGGTGGGTGTTCAACCAATTCATAGCCCAATTCGTGTAATTGCCATGGCGACGGCCGATCGGTGAGCACGTCTTGGTGAAAGAGCACTTTTTTGTGTTCCACACCGGGGCGTTTTCGATGCAATTCGGCTTCGCATCGATTCATTAATGCTGCGGAGTACTTACCATTGATTGTTTTTCCTCTTTCCAAGTAGTCAATGTGGATGATGCCCTTCGCATCCCAGAAAAACAGTCGCCATCACTTTGCCGGCCGAATGTGCACTCTTTGCCTTCTTCGGCGGCCCTTCGCCACGTTTGCGCCACTGTTTCGACTGTTCTTTGGTTTCCGGTGTGTAATAATGCACCCAGGTTTCATCAAGGTGATAAATCGGCGAAAAAAATCCTTCGGATTGCGCCGTATCATCGGCAAAAGCGTCTCCGAAGTGGTCACACGTTTTTGCATGTGATCGATTGTCAGCAAACGCGGCATCAATCGCGCGGATAGCTTTTTCATATCCAAATGATGGTGAATAATGTTGTGTACGCATTCGTAGGAAATGTTTAGGACCTCTATTAACTCGCTGAGATTAATTCGATGATCTGCCATCATCATGTCATGGACTTTGTTGATTATTTCCGGCGTGGTGACTTCCTTGGCCTCCCGGGACGCTCATCATCAAAACACCCGTACGACCTCGAACAAATTCAGCTTTCCAAAATTTTACTGTTGCTAACGAAGGTGCAACCTCACCATAAACTTCCTCCACGTCGGCTTTGATTTGCACATTCATTTTACCCTGTTTGTGTGTTGGAACTTAATCACCGAACGATACTCGACTTTTTCCATTTTTCCGAAAACACAAAATTTGCTTGCTTTGACGGCTGTAAAAATCAAACTAATTGTTTTTAAAACTTAAAATTTTGACAAGACGTCATATCATGAATGGCAAATATCAACACCGAAACCAATTCGGTATCAAGTAGCGCAATCTATCAAAGGCTAGTTTAATATCAACCTTTTCTCGTATAACTATCCAATTCAACAATCGGACTGGATAATTCTAATTGCGGAATATTTTTAATTTAAAAGTACTCTTGAAAGCAAAGTTTCCGAGTTACTTTGGTTATTCACTATGAAGTCCTGGTTTGCCTTTTTTTTATTTAACACCTATACGGTGTTTTTATACTGCTATCTGGTCAGAAATGACGAATTATCACTTATTTTCTAACCTATCTTAATACACAACAAATACTTAAATCTAAGGGCCTACCCTACGGCTTATTCTTATTTTATCTATCAACTAATGCACTACAACTAACATGCAATAACATCACAGCACTATACTCTGTTTTTTACACTAATTCAAATGTTTTTGTCCTTACGAGTCTTCTCTTTAGTTCAGTGTTGTCAAGAAGCTGGATTGCCTCTCAACTTCTGATATTCCGGTTGTCTTAAGTTTTATTTAAGATGCTGATTAAGTGTTTCACTCCTCCCTCTTCATGAATACTTCTAACATTCCACGTGGGTATTTTAAGTTGGTTTTCCCTTAATTTATATCCTTTTTTTGTTTGCTCATCTCTTTCATTATCTTTTTTTCTTACATTTGCCCCTTTGGTTTTCATAGTCGTGTCCTTATTCTTTGCCTTTTCTGTCTCTATTTGTTCACACTGTGGTGGTTCTTTTAGTTATTTGAATCATTTCTATTCAATGCATTGCCTATGTTCTCAAAAAATCCTTTATCCCTATTAGACTTTATTTCCTTTCCATCAACTTTCCAGCCATTTCCAGTATTTTTCTAATTCCAGCCTGTATTCCTCTTTCCTTTTTTGTCATGTCCGACTCTAATGTATATGCTCTGTCCTACTATATTTTTGAGTTTGCTTGTGTTTTTCAGTACACTCACTTTGTTCGTCATGTTTTCCATTTCAGTCAACATTTTGTTGTCTATTTTGCTAATTTCTTTCAATTTAATGTTGGTGTGAAGATTTATTTCCATAAATTGCTCCAGTTTATCTTTAGTATCTCTCCCATTATTAGTTTTCAAATCATTTAATTCACAATACTCCTCTATCAATTCGGGATAAGGCAGAAAATCGTCGCAGCACATCCGATGTCGTGACAATTCAATTTTCACGCAATTTTCTTTTGGAAAGTCCACAGTTTTCATATATTTGACTCTCCTTGATTTCATCTTTCAGTACTCTCAAAGACATAAGGGGTATAATCGTAGCTGAACTTCTATTAAAATACGACGATCTATTAAGCTGTACAGTTCTTTTTCTTATTTTCGGACATCTTCCCTTATACGGCTTTTTGGCATATATCGAAGCCAGATTCTGGTCCGACTAAAGTAGTAAACAGCTCTTTCTTTAGCGAGAGCATTAATCTTCACTTAGCTTAGATACAATATATGTATATGTCGCAGCCAGATGGTTAAATTCGCCGTTCAATAGAATAGAGCTTGCTTTCAACAAAGCCATTCAATCTCATGTCTGAAGGTCAATTAGCCGAGTGGCTGACGACCACGAAGATAACGTTTAATAGTCTAATGTCTATGATATTTAGATCCACAAAGAACTTTTTTCTTGAAGCAAGCACATCTCATGGTACGGTATTGTTTTTGTGCTGATTTACACGAGAATTTTTGAAAACCATGCCCCCAAACTTTGACTGTATCAAGTTTTGGGGGTCATGGTTTTAACTTTGAAGTCACAGCTTTTCGTAAGATATCTGCATCACGGAGCATCTAAAATTTCATCATCATAGCTTTCCGTTGATGAGTGCAATTCTTGTCGCACAAACCATTTTTTAATAGTTTCTGTTTTTGTGCTCATTCTATAAACTATATTTTTAAAATCCACAATTTTTCCTTTGATATTTTTGGTGTCCAAAGTGTTTTTTTTTGCTGTGTTCTTAACCATTTTTTCAGCTGCACCTTATAAACTTTTGTTGGCCTCATTTCTCTGAAATAGTATGTTTTCTTCCGTTTTGCATCTAAAACACAATACTGAGGAACCAAAACCTTCCTCTCCTACTATAGACAATTCATATGTGTCTTGAACAGCCATGTTCAATGTGTCATTGAAATTTTTTATTGCATAAAATAACTAGTCGTCGGATTGAATGGTGTTATTCAATCAAAGGGCTAGCTGTTTAATCGAACGGCTAATTTAACCACCTGGCTGCGACATATACATAACTAGAACCCAACATTGTGTGAAAATCTTTGCTGTAGAGGTTCACTACGCTTGCAAACAAAAATACCAGACATTTCAACTCAAAAAACATTGGATGGAAACAATGATTTAAGGTAGCGGCATATTATCATTCACGTATAGTTTCCGAAAAGTAGCGTTTTCAGTCAAGCAATCGGACTGCGCGTTCACATTTTCATACATAGAACGTTTCAGTTTGGTGCGGTGAAGATGTGTTTTTCCAAATATTTTCTTTTTTATTTGCACCATAATAGCATTTATCATTGTATTTATATAAAATTTCTTCACCGCGTACGAGTTCAATTATCAAACCAAAGAGTATTTTTAAAAAACGAAGAGGTATCACTTCCGTGCAAAGTCCTAATTGTTTATCACTTCCGTGTTTATTTGATGATTTCCGTGATTGATAATGATTTTTTTAAATACTCTGTATCAAAATCAAACAAATACCTAAATACAACGAGGGGAAAACGACGAACTCCTATTTGACATTATCCATACCAACAGATTTCGACTCGTTCTGTAGCGGTAGCATCCGTAAAATATTGTTTTCGAATATTCTGAACGGAAACGTAAGGTGTCTGATACGATACGTTCCTGACAGCGTAAATTGTTCATATGTAAAACTATTTAAATTATATTTTTCGGTAACTAAACGCTACGGGCTTGATAATATGCCACTTGGACCTTTAAAAAGGAAAGATTTCTTATTTGTCTAATCTTGCTTTTTTCTCTTTTTCTTGCACAATGATTTAAGTCGTAACTAAAAGGAAAAATGATATGAAAACCTTCATTCTAGAGAATAATTTGCGATTAAAAAAAGCTATCACCAAGTGCAACTCATAAATTGGATGGAAATTGAAGGATGATGAATGCAACAGGAAGAGAGGTTACAGAAAAACACAGAAAACATTACCATCGTATTCACTATTTTTTTTATTTCTTCAATCAATTTATTATTTTTCAACATTGTGAGTTTACGAATTATCATTTTTGGTGGATTTTATTCTATGTATAAACAACAATTAAACGTTGGTTATATATTTGTAAGTAATAGTCTTGCGCCCCATTTGCAATTTGTTAATATTAACTACTTTTCATCTCTCCACCACTGCCAAATGTAATTGGGTTCTACTATAAAGAAGTATTAACTGGAATATTTTGAAATGGATAAATTGCTGGATGGAATCGCTAATTGGTTCGTTAAAGCTGGTGTTTGCTTTCATTAACTTATTATAAAACTAGATAACTGCAGGCAACTTCGGTGATTTATTATTGAATTTTTCCACGCTGGAGGTTGATAGAATTGGTAATTTTTTCAATTTCGCAAAATAATGTTCGCGTTTGTATTTGATTTTTAAATTAAATCATTCGAACCAATAAAAATAAATAAAAAATAAATGTGTCAATAATATAATATATACGCTAAAATAAGAATAGCTTACGAAAAAATACGGTAAGTAACGATATAAAAGGGAATAAATAGGTAATATCAAAAATACTTAACCCATTCACTGCGTATGATGCCATTTGGCGGCGCTATGATTTGATGCCTAGGGCGCACGCCGCCATTTGGCGTCAGAGCTCCGTTCAAATTTACTTAGTATCAAAATAAAAGAGAATAAAATTATCAATCCATTGCAAAATTAAAAAAAAATGCAAATTGCATAATAAAATCTTACGAACTAGTTGAAATTGAACTAATCAAAGGTTGCATTTCTAGTGGAGACGTCATGATTAGGTCTTTGAAAAAACATGTAGGTGAACAGTTTTTAAAAGATATAAAGAGAGAAGCGTTCAAATCCCGTGATTTTAGAAGTAACTTCTGCAAGGTGTTGTTCTTCTGAGGCCAAAGAAATGCCGTATTGCTCTTTTTTGTAATTTAAAAATAACATCAGATTATGCAGCTGTACTAGAATCCCAAAAAGAAAGACCATATCGAAGATGAGACTCGAACAAAGAAAATATGTTATTTTGAAAGATGCTAAATTGATATCCTCCGAAACAGATCTTATTGCATAGGCTGAAGCTTTTAGTTTCCCTACTTAATAAATCTATATACAGGACCATTTAAAATTACTCTCTATAAAAATACCAAGAAATTTTACAGAATCAACGCTACTATCCTGGCTGTTATTAAGAAGCAAGGGTTGAAAATAACTTCTTTATAGGATAATACTATTATGTTATCCACGTTAAAAGAGAGTATATTAGAGTGGACCAAATTTTTATTGTAAACAGATTACAAGTTACAACATTATAGTTGAATGAAGAGTTGCAATATTAGAGATTCTACAAGTGATCCTGGTATCATCAACAAAAAGAATTCCGTAGAAATTTAATTATTTTATCAAAATGTGATTTACACAATCAGAATCTTTGGCATAGTCACAAAGAAACAGTGGCGGTATTAAGATTATTAATTGATACGAGGTTGAATGCTCGAATAAATGAACTTTGAAAATTAAGGCAATTATATCGAGCACAAGTTTAATCAAATCTTGCCCAAGTACTTTCGCTTAATATAGCATCTTCTCTCTCCTGTTAGAGAATTTTTTGTCTCGAATGTTACCGCCAAAGAATGTAGCGTAGAACTTTTTTATTAATTTTAAACTGTTTGTCCTTGTTGTAGTGTAGTGTTTATACAATTTTATGTTACCATCTATGTTTATTACATTCTACGCTTGCCGGATAGCCCATATTTGACGAAATGCCCCTGAAGATGCTATATTAAGCGAAAGTACTTGGGCAAGATTTGATTAAACTTGTGCTCGATATAATTGCCTTAATTTTCAAAGTTCATTAAGATTATTGTTTAGTGCTTGGTAAAACTCATGTAGTACAGAAAACATAGCAGCACTGATACATTTATTAAATGCTAAACTGAACTGATTTTGTGATAAAATGTTGTTTTCAACGAGAAAGGACATAAGTTAGACCCTTATAAGTTTCTCAATAATTTTCGATAGTCCCGGTAGCAAAGCAATAGATCCATACTTACAGGCATTCCATTTTTTACCACCCTTATGAAGAAAAATGGCTGTATTTAGGGACTCTGGAAATATACCTTTTTCAAAGGATTCATTAATTAGTGAGACCAGAACTTCTAACACATTTTTTGGTAGATTTGAAAAAAAAAATGGATAGTTCATCAGTAATACATGAAGATTTCCTTTTGATTGTTCGAGACCTTTTTTAAATTGGGTAGATAGGAAATGGGACCATGTTTTGGCAAAATAGTTAATGTTATATTTTTACTCATATTAACGAAGTATATAATTTAGATTGTCAGGGTTTGGAAGGTAAATTGGTTGAGCTGTGTTAGTTTTATTTCGAAGATCGTACTATGGACCAAGTTTCTTTTGCAACACTTTTAGAGCTTCCCAGACAATTTTGTAGGTATGCTTTTTTAGCTGTTTTGATGTTTTAGTAGGTACTTGGTGATATATTCAGTAACAGAGACGTTACCTCAAGACCAGATGACTCTGGTTACTTGATGTACAATAGTGAAACGCATATTCTTGGCTGATATGCAGATACCTTTGGTAGTCCAGGGTTTGTGATGTTTTGGCTTAATTGTAATTAAAGAAAATGTCTTATCGAAAATACAGACTAGCCTATCTAAAAGTCACAGAAATGATGATTAAGAAAATACCTACTCTCAGTGAAAGTGAATTATTTTAAAATAGCGTATCCAAAAACAAATATCTTACACATTTTTAGTCCCTTTGTGACATATTGCGAAATAGAAACCGTGGTTACTGATAACGTCGATTTATTTGGAAAACATGGAAACGTATTGAGATAATCATATTCGATAGAAGGCAAGAAATTTATTGTACGCAGGAGAGATACCTTTAGGAATAATCAAAACGATCGAAAATATCTACCAAAACAACACAATCAAGGTAAAAGTAGAAGAACTAACATAAGACAGGGAGGAACTATAAGACAGGGAGATTCCCTGAGTCCTCTATTCTTCAACCTGATTATGGATGAAATAGTAAAAAAAAGTAAAAACTAAAAACGGATACCAAATGGGAGACAACCACCTTAAAATAATCTGTATAATCTCTTACTTAAAAAATTTAACATGTTAATTTCCCCAAAAATAACCTACGTTATGCATGGTTATAGCAGCAATTTTACTAAGATGTAAATTGGAGCTGGAAGGTTAGATAATAGAACAATTGATAGAGTTTAAATATCTAGGCATCACATTATCTAGCTACGGAAAGCTCTAACCAGAAGTGGAAGATCAAGTGAATAGAGAAAACATAGCCGCAGGTGATCTAAATGAAACAATATGGAGAAATAAAAATATCGGGAGAGAAATGAAACGCAGAATTTACAAAACAGTCATCAGACCAATAATGACTTACGCTACAGGAACACGACCTGACACGGAGAGGACAAAAGATTTTTCAAAACAGCAAAGATGAAAACACTTGAAAAATTGAGGGCAAAATACTATGGGACAGAGCTAACACTACAGATATACGACATATATGCCAGGTGAAGAACATCAAAGACTGGGTAAGAAATAGAATGGAACGATCATATAAGCGAAATGATAACAAATAGAATAGTAAAGGCTGCAAGAGACGGTTCCCCAATAGGAAGACGATCAGTAGGAAGACCATGAAAACGATGAAACGGCAACTTACTGGAGGCACATTAAAAAACAGACAGAGTCATGTCCACATAAAAGAAGAATGTAAATCCGAGAAAAAAAAAGAGTGAAATTTTTAGACTCCCTTGCCGATTCATTCATCAAGCTGTTTGCTTCGCAAGTTTTAGGGAGCACGGCGGCTTATATTTGAATTCGATTTCGCCAGGTAGAAATCGTATGATTTCTCTTTTTGTTCTTAGATGGCGTAGTTACGCCCGTAAATAGTTATTTTTAATAACTATAATCTACGACGGGAAAATATTTTGGTTTGATATGGAGTAGTAGCTATACCGTACTGAGGAGATCTAAAGAGATCGAAATACGTATAATTGTTAAGAGGAAAAGTTTTATGAAAAGTTAATGTGACATTAGTGGATTCCTGAAAATCACATTGAAGCAATTGAACGAGCTTTACAATCTGAACGAGAATATTCTGACAGTTATTATTACTGCGAATCAGACGTTTCTTTATTTGTATTGGGAGAATTTACTATTAATTATTTCAGATAATATACCACTGAAGTCGATATTTACATACTTAGTAAAAAACAGTCTCAAATTGATGGAATATGGTGTTAAATTTTACTTTTTGATAAAAAATCATCGTTTCTTAAGCTAAGAATAAAGCAGTTTTTAATACTTAATGTTATGTTTATGTTATCGAAATATAAAAAAAATGAGCCGAAAAAATAGATAGAATGATTCTTTATAATTATATCAAGGTCTATTCTCATTAGACGTGCCAGGCCCGTGCTCGTCACCTGACCGGCACATGCCATGCTTTTGGTAAATATTCACACTATTCGCGCTCGTAACATGCTTTCAGCGGTATTTTGCACAGGCAGTCGGTTAGACGTGTCGGTGGGTAGTTGTGCAGTTGTAATGTTTTCTACGGCAACTTTACTAAAAATTGCATTTTTTACTTTGGATGCCGAAGAAGAAGAGAATATGAGAGATAAAGTTAAAAAATGAGGTTTTGGATACATCCAATGATTAAGGAAAGAAACATAGAAGGAGAATACTAACCTTGTATAAAGAACTCATTGATAATGAGTCAAAATTTTATATATATATATATATATATATATATATATATATATATATATATATATATATATATATATATATTATAGAATGTCAATTGCCGAATTTCAGCAGAATTACCAGCAGAATGCGATTTTAAACAAATTGACAAAAAATTTTGGTTGTCGTAGAATTTTCCCAAGGGCATTAGGAGCCCTAGATGAAAAGCACATCAAAATTATAGCACCAATCAATAGTGGTTCCAGCTACTTTAACTACAAAAAGATTTTTTCTGTAGTTCTACTTGCTTTAGTAGATATGTAGTTCGACTTGCTCTAGGAAATCACGATAAACCATTTTTGTCCTTAAAAAACTCACTCCCTCCATTTTCCGAACTCAGGTCGCCCGTAAATTATTTTTTCTTTCATTTATGTCATATCATCTTTCTTTTCCAACGAGTTTCATCCTACTATTTTTTTTTTGTTTAAAATATTATCGGCAGTGGTCTATTACCTAGATAAAATATAGTGTTTTATTTACCTATTTTAATATTTCCTCCAATATCCCACCATACCTGAGACTTATGTGCTGCATCTGCATACAGTCGATTCATAAAATCGTATAATTCACTTCTCATACGAACTAATTCTATTAAAAATTCATCAGTATCATGTGAAAATATTTTTTTCGCACCGTTTTGCCTGTCGAAACTCATCTGAAGTATTCACACTATGTAGGACTGTGCAAGGAATGTGCCACGCACGGGCTAGGAAAATATTGTTTGAAAAGATTGTCCGATGCCGGGCGCGTACCGTTCCCATTCCAAGCACTTGTAGTGAGAACGGACCGTCGCTAAACCCATTTAAATAACGTTAAAGTAATTTTGCACGTCTCGAGCAGGGCACATGCCTGGCACATGCCTGGCACTATAGTGAGAATAGGCCTTCAATCGAACAATGAGGTAGCTATATTAAAATTTCGAACTAGGCAGGTTGTTTTAATTGACCTCCAATTTATAGTTAACAAACTTTCGTACGCCTATGATTCAGAGGTTATGTAATAAAAATAGCACGTGATAAAAATATACACGGAAGGTTATGGGTACTTTAAAAATTAAAATCTTCTATTAGTTCGTTACTCATTATTGTATTTATTATAACAAAGAATTAATTACACAGTATTAAATTAAACAAATTAAATTTGACGTCATAATAGTCTATATATAGTTTTTTTTTTCTCCCTGGCCCCGTCCGATCCAAAAAATCTCCGTTATCACCGAAGCTGAAGCTTATTGTGTTTGCTGACTATTTTTGTCTCCCACACCCAGTCTAGATCCTTGTACCCTGTAGAAGTTTGTACAGGTCTTTTGCTTGATATGTCCTAAATATACCAGGGTCTCCTCTTGGTTGCCCATATAGTTTTGTCTTTGCAGTGTATAATATACTCTATATATGTTAAATCGACATTTGGTGATAGGAAGTTGTGATCAGAAAATACATCAGTACCTGAGTACGCTTTTATTGCTGATGACTATTGCTTATGGAGGCCATACACGTTAGGGTTTGCATGATGATTTTAACCTTGCTTGCATTACCGACTGGCAGCCCTAGCGTGTGTGTGATAAAACTGTACAGTTATCGGTGCATGTACATGCAACCGAGCAAATATGAAAATTCATATTTTATGCCGCTCGATATTGCCTGCCATAGTTCTCATAGCATCACATTTTTCAGGTATTATTCGGCCCAAAGCCTGAGGTGATATAACAGCAGAATATTTGAGACACTCGTATGTTCTTCCTGTTGCAAGAAATCTTAATGTTACTGCTAGTCTCTCAAGTGCTGATATTGCTTTCCTCATAACAGTATCTTGTCTTTGTATTAACGGAGTAATCAATGATAATAGTTTCAAATAAAGTTTTTATCCATTCGTAAATAATTATTGTAATCTGTAGGTTTAAATCTCAATCCATTTATCAAATTTACAGCGTTTAAACCATTCAGTGCGATCTCTCTTTTTTTTCTTTTCTGAAGAATAAGTGTTAACCCAGTACAGCTATCACATCGTTGTCGTCCATTGTAGTTTGGTAGGTATAGACCGCATAAAGTACCGTGGACGTCCTGCACACACCGTCATATAGCAGAAGAGCAAAACTTTGCATGTAAACCCTAACGTGTATGTGTTATATGAGACTCGGTTATACCTGTCGGTTATGCATGCAAGGTTAAAACCATCATGCAAACCCTAACGTGTATGGCCTCCATTATACTGCTATCCTTATTCAATGGCGACTTCCATGTGTAGAGGCATCTCTTAGGTAGTCTATAAAAGGTATTTGTTACTACTAGGTTATGATCTCGACAGAATTATATGAGACGATCTTCTTCGTCATTACGAACACCATATGGTCCTACTATAGACCCATTTACCTTCATTGTTTCGCATTAAAACTTCCCATGATTACCTTTATGTCTTCCCATGATTAAGTTTTGTAAGGTGTAATGTCTTTTGAGTTCAGTGTAAAATTTTTCTATATTTCTTTTCATCATCGCCAGTTGCGCATAAATCCGCATTAAATGCTATAGCGGGAAAATATGGTAAAATCTGCATTCGGCTGGATTCTTTTTGGGATTAAGTACTCGAAAGTACATATTTAGAAACCCCTTTAGCCAAATTTTAAGTTCTCTACGTGTCCAGGGGTCCCTGTCGAAAAAAATGTGTTTTTGAAAAAAAAAACCCCTCTAATATTTTTCAGATTTTTTTCAGAATCAAAATTCAGCTCTTTTCTGGCAAACTTCTAATTCATTATTTTTTGTGTATTCTTTCTGTTCTTTTGGACGGCGGAGTTGCCTTTGCCATTTTCGCTACCAGAAATTGTCAAAATTCGAAAAAACCAATTTTTTTTTGTTTTTGTGTTTGTGTATGTCAATACGTAACGATTTTTGGTAAGTATAAATTTTTGGTTATTTCTTATAGCGCGATACGGTTTGCCATTTTCAGACTAGAACATGCTCAAAATACGACAAACCCTCTTTTTGTAATATATTTTCCCATATTTTAAGCACATAACCTCATTTGAATGCGACAAATATCGATTTTTGTTTTTTCCCCTCCATTATTCGACTGGTGATTATCATTTAAATATTTTCATGTCCAAAAACACCATTTTGTTCCTCTGTTCCTCTGAAATTTGAATTCTTAAACAAGGAAAGAGACTCTCTTTCCTTGCTTAAGGTGGCCTCTCAAAATGGCACTTCTTGTCTAACAACATTTTTGTCCCCACTACCTTTGCATTCCCTCTTCTGTCTTTTTGCTCAATGAGGCAGATATATCTGCTTACGACTTTTTCCTGCACTCCTTGTTCTCTCTTTACCCGCCGAATATTAGTTTCTGAAACCATAATTGGTAAGTTTTTGCTTGTTATCATCTTTAGACATGATTTTCTTCCACAAACAAAAAGTACTACCTCTAAAACACAGCCCATATACCCCCAAATATACCGTAAAGATCATATTTCTGGCTTAGTTTGTCAAGAGAGTGCTGTAGAAAATGAATTTATAACTATGCACTAAATTTTTATAAGATTGAACTAACCGTAGAGCTTTCAAAATTTACTATTAAAAATTATATCTTTTTAGCAAAAGAAAACCACTTGCTGACGGGAAAACAAAAGCAGAACAGATTGAGATGGACAAAATCCAAACTTTACTGGTCAATATAAGAATGATCCAGACTGATTTTTAATGATTGAATTGTAAAATGTCATCATGTGTCGTCAAATGTCAGTATGTCATCGTTACATTTAGGATACTTTCAATTTATTGTGGCATTAACTCCATAAAGTACTAAGAAATTACGCAAAGCAGTCTACAAATAGAAGCAAATCTAAAAATAAATGATTTCTAGATCAGGACAAATGTTTTATCGCGTCCTTCCAACTGTCCCGATCTAAACGGTTTAAAAATTATCATAGCAGCATATGTTGAGAAAAAACTGGGGAAACTGAAAAGACCCGAAAGTCAAAAGAAATTTGAAGAAGAAATAAAAAGGAAGCTCACTCAATTGAAGAAAATTAAGAGAGATCATTAGAAGACCATTGAACCTAATAAGTAGAACCACATTAACTGCAGAAAAATCGATGACAAGAACTGACCAATGGTTTGATAATGAGTGTAAGGCGGCAATTGAAGAACGAAATGAAACCCATAGAATATATTTAACTAGACGAACTAGAAAAAGAAAAATGGTATATAAAAACAAAAGATCAATAGCTGAAAAAATAGACAAAAAAGAGAAAACAGATAAATAAACAATTAATGGAGATGAAAATAAACTTTAGAGCAGACAAAACACGAAATGCGTATAAATTTATCAAACAAATAAAACAAAGGTTTAAATCAAACACTAATCTGTGCAGGTATAGAAACAGCAAAATAACCAACAATACTAAAGAAACTAAAGAAACTTGGAAAACATATTTTCAAAAACTGCTGACCGAAAACTCTCACAGTAATGATGTAGAACACACAGAACATGAGCTAGTGGAAGAGGCAGAAACTAAAGAGAATGAGATAACAAAACCGCCAATGATAGAAAAGATCGAAAGAGCAATCAAACTGGAGATAAATAACAAGACCCCTGGATGCGATGAAATACCCGCAGAATTGTTCAAGTTGGGAGAAAGAAAAATAACGAAAAGAATATATGAGATCATACACAGAATAAGAGAAATTCCCAAAAAAAAGTGGAATAAGAGTATCATCTGCCCAATCCATTAAAAGGGCAATAAATTCCTCAGTCAAAACTATAGGGGAATCTCCTTGATGTGTTGTGGGTATAAAATATTTACAGTATACTTAACCATAAACTACAACCCCTCGCAGAGAAGACCATCGGAGAATATCAGACAAGAAAGATCAACCATCAACCAACTATTCACGGTTAAGCAGGTCTTAAGCAAAGCCTGGGAACAAGACATAGTTATCTATAATATTTTCGTCGACTTTAATAATATACGAGTCTATAAGACCATAATCTGACCATAGTGAGTTATGGATGTGAAACTTAGGTGTTGACTCAGAAATCTGTAAACCGCGTAGGCATCTTTGAAAGAAAGATACTGAGACGAATACTAGGTCCTGGTAATGAGAACATGTCCGAATTCAGCGTCTTCAATGAACAGGCCATGTATTTAGGATGGAAGAAAACAAGCTTTCAAAAAAACTGAATGCAAGAATGCAGGAGAAGACCTGTTGGAAGACCGAGAAAGCGATGGGAGGATGATGTGGATGAGGACGCCAGAAATCTTCTTAGCAGTCGATCGTGGAGGAGAATGGCTACAGACCGTAACGAATGGAGATGTTTGCTGACGGAGGTCAGGGCTCAAATTGGGCTGTAGAACCATAGGATGGGTGGAAGTTAAGAAAAAAACCTACAGCGTTTTTAGCTGGAACTTAAAACCAAAATAGAAGAAATTTGGAAGGGATTGTCTCCAGAAAAATGACAATCCTTAATTGTATCCTTGTCCAAACGAATCAAATCAGTCATTATAAGAGTACCTAATGAACCTGTCGGTCAGATAGCCAATCAGGCCAGGCAGCGGCCAAATCGCATTCACTTAATTGTAAATCTAGCGGACCATGGTTCAGGTCCTGGCCAGACAACAAAAAGACTAACGCAGTAGGTAGTAAAAATTCTAAATGAATCTGCTACTTAGACTTGAATACGATGATGTATCTAATCGACCTATGGATGAGCAGTACGGCAAGAGATAAGAGCTTACGTCTCGTATGGAAGATACTCTTTCGTAAATAACTAACGGAATAGCGCGTACGCTAAAAAAATCAGAATATAAATAGAAAGACATTACACTTTATTTTAATAATTTTACATTTGTCCCATTATTTGTTACGTTATATTATACATGTTTTGAA